ATAAATAAATAAATAGAAGAATTTCACACCACAGAAGGCTTGGACTGCTTTAAAAAATTGTTCCAATCTTGGGTCCACAGACATTCTTTGACTAAAACTCCGAGAAGCCTTTATCATTAGATGTACTGGCCAGGCTTTCAGGGAGTTGTAGTCTAAGAATATATGGGAACCCAAGGTTAGGAACCACTGGCTTAGACAGAGAGCAAAATGCAAGGAAGACTTGAGATAAAGTGGTGCCACAAGTCAAATATATGCCACAGGTCAGATATGAGTCATATCTGAAAGCAAATGTAGCAAGAGGTTTTATTTACCAGCCTTTAGCAAAACCCAGCAAAGATAATCCATTTGTAAGATACAAATGGAAAATGGTCAAAGCCACCTTAATGAGAGTGGCCGTGTTTTGTTTTCAGTCAACTGATCTGAACCAAGTTGGATTTGATGTTTTCACTTGAATGATTGGCAATGGAGTACAGTATCAATTCCAGAAGAAGTACAAAGCCATAGACGATTGATGTTGGACGTATTTGCTCTCCAGGCACAATTGAATTGAACAGTGGGTGGATGGAAAGCTGATGGATGTGGAAACAGTTGATGGATGTGGGAAGAGAGACGGGCACAAGCTGTCAGTTTGGCAGTTCACCCTGGTTTGTTTGCCACCGCAACAGGCGTTTGGTGCTTTGGCACTCCACTCCCCCTGGCAGGCACCCAATCAGAGGCAGTGCTTGGAGGAAGGAAGCCAGGACACTGCCCCTGAGTGGGCACCTGCTGGAAGGTGGGGTGGGGCACCAAACTGCCAAACACTTCTTGCAGCAGTAAATGAACTAGGACAACCCGACAAGCCAGCAGTTCGTAACCATTTCTATTTGGGAACCAAAACTACCGCTGGAGTGGCTGCTCAGACATAGTGTCCCAGCACAGACCAATGCTGTTTTCCAAGCCAAGCACTGGTTACATGGAATAGCCCTGCTGGGAAGTAAAGTAACTTTGAACTTGGAGCTGCTGAAGATTGCTAACATAGGGAAGGTTTGGAAGGAGGTCTTATCCAAAACAGAAGCTAGCATTCATGACCATAGCCACTGATTCCAGAAGAAAAGAGCTGTCCTGGTCCCAGGTGCCTGAGGCAAAGGAAGCTGCTGGTTAGTAAAGTCCCAAACCAAGGAAAGGATGAAGCAGGGGAAGCAGGAAAGATTGAGCTCACTAAAGCAGACATGCAGTTCGGGCAAACCAAGGTTATAAACCAAGAAGGACTCCAAGGGGTCAAAGGTCCAGGCAGTCCAGAGCAAGGTATTGAAGTGCCCAGGAACAAAGCAGAAGTTGTCAGACATGTTGCCTCCAGCAGTAGAGTTGTGCTGTGCTGTACAATGCTGTCAGTGTGGCACAAAGAAAGATCTCGATCACGAGAAGAGTATTTACTCATGAAGAGACCTCCTCTGCATCTGAGCACTCCACCTGGGAGCTTCAAGCTAGACTCCTCCTTTCCGCCTTCTACTCCCCTGAGGACTGGGAGGTTGCCCCACCTCCTCCTCAGGCTCCCCTCCTGAAACCCCACCACCCATAGAATGAGGGTCCAGGATATGTGGGCTCACATTCTGGTTTCCCATGAGGGTTCAGATTCTCCCCATCAGGCTTGGGCGTCTCCAGTTCATCCTCATCATACGTGACTTGGAGCCTGTAGGGCCCAGCTCTATTTCCTAACATCCTATTCCAATGGGACATTCCCCCCAAAGTCACTGCTCATATATTGAAAGTGTCAGTGACTTCGAACATCTGGAGCAGAAGACAACTCTGCATCTCTCTAGATTTGCAAACTGTCCTCCTGGAAAACTGAATTGATAGCCTTATTCTTCTTCATTTTAGGCCCCAGCAAGATTTTTGCTCAATGGATCAATGCTTTCAAGCCGCTGTGCAGCTGATATAATGGGAGAAATAATTTCTAGCAACTCATTTATTCAGTTCAAGATTCACACCGCATGCAGTCCAGAGCAAATTGTGGAGCTTGGTCTGCAACACAACTGGCCTTACTTTAAGTCCCTGGGCTTTCCCCAGGAGAACCAGCTAAAAGTAGCCACTGTGAAGGAGTACAAGGGCCTTTTTGAGTTCATCCTTGGAGAATGCGTGTTCACTGGCAGTGGAGAGCTGAGTACAGAGGGTGAAGTAACAGCAGCAGAATGGAAAGCAGCTCTTCTGAATAAATGTGCCCACTCGGAGGTGACTACGTAAGCTTTTCTTTTATGCTAGGGGGTGGGAGAGAGAATCTTGGGTGTTCCAGATGTTCTGGAGACTTCATCTCCCAGAAACCACAGCCAGCATGGTAAGTGAGTGTCAGAGCTGTAGTTCCAAAGCATCCAATGTGGTGGAGTGGAGAGAGTGATGGACTAGGAGGCCTGAGTTCGAATCACCGCTCAGTCATGGAAACTTACTGGAGGCATGTAACAGGTAAAGCTACTCATGCTACTCATCCACAGCAGGGTTGCTCTTATAGCTTTAAGGCACATAACAACTGTAACACACTCTATATGAGGCAGCCTTTGAAGGTTCAGAAACTTCAGCTAGTTCAAAATGCAGCAGCCAGGCTACTGACTCTGGCCAGTTATAGGGGACATGTAACGCCCCTGCTGCAACTGCAATGGCCACCAGTCAATTTCTGGACGTGTGAACTCCTGTAAGGCTTGGCTCTAGGCTGCCTGAAGGACCGTACCTCCCCCTATGAGACTTCTTGGCTCTTAACATCTTCAGAGGAGGCCATCCTCCCAGTCCCATTGCCCTTACAGGTATGCTTGATGGGGACATGAGAAAGGCCTTTCTCTGTGGCAGCCCCCACAGATTGTGGAATGCTCTCCCTCGGGGATATTTGGTTGGTCCCCTCCATTTTATCCTTCCGTCAACAGCTGAAGACCTACCGTTTCTGACTGGCTTTTAATAACAGTCCAGAAGTCTGTTTTTAAAGTTTTAAATGTTTTCATCATTTAATGTATTTTAATTATTGTTATGGTTCAGTTCCTTTTATTTATTGTCTTTTGGTTCTACTTGTTTTAATGTTGTAAGCTGCCTTAATGTAGAAATAAATTAGAAAGAATGTGCCTCACTCATAGTTCCCAAACATTTGTCTCCACAGCCCTGGTTTGGAGACATTGAAATGCCCTTGGTAGGTTGGAGAGTAGATTCTAGTAGACTCTTTTCCAACCTGGTTCCCTGGTTCAGTCATAACTCCCATCAACCCCAATAATAATGAGATGTATCATCTGATGCTGCTAGAAGATGCAGATTCTAGATAGTGTGTGTGTTTTTTTAACTATTTTATTTTGTTTGGTTTCCTAGAACATGGAATTACCTCCATATCTAATCTCTGGAGGATCATTCTTCAAAAACATCTACAATATCAGTTTGACAGCATACATTCAAGGTGATGGCAGAACAGCTGACATGAAAGTGGAGATGTCTTCTGTAGACAGATGCACCATCAAGGGAAGTCTGAGTCACTCTGTCCCCTTCCTCCATGATCTAGGGCTGCCTCCTGCGAATGCAGTCCTTCTGTCCATGGGAAATGGTTCTCCCTTTGAGGGATTCCTGAGGCTGCATTTCGGTAGCTGCAAGCTTGAGGCCCAAGGAGAAATCCAGCCCCAAAACAGGACTGAATGGGCTCTAGAAGTGGAAACAGGTTGCAAAACTCTACAGGTCATTAATGTTGTCTCTCTCATTCTCTCTCCTGCTCTCTTTCTAGTACTCTGAGGGGATAGCTAACTCCTCCTTTTTTTCTCTCTAAATAGAGCAAAAGTTTCATTTTTGGACTACAATTCCCAGAAAGCTTAATAGTTCTGGGAGACAGTTCAGAAAAAAACAACTTTTCTAAGTTCTGGAATGGGAGTTGGCTTTTTAAAGTGGGTGGAAAACTTATAGATATTTCACTCCATGCTAAAATTGATGTGTGCACATCTTGAGTAGAGCGGGGGGTGGGGACACTGACATCAATGCCACTGCTCAGATCAGTATCCCTTCTTGTTCACAAATGTCTGCTCTTTAGTTTTAAAAACAAGAAAGTCAGTCCCGAGCCTGAATTTCCTGAATCATAACTATTAAGCAAACCTCACAAGCCATTTGTAACAGAGTCACAATCTGTAACTTCTCACTTTACAGTTGTTATTTGAAATGGAATAGTCCTGATAGGCTGGGAACAGAAGAGTAGAAATCCAATAGCTTGTTAAGTTGGCTCTTACAGTCTGGGGAAAGTGAGTTTTGTATCTCATGGTAGGATTTCAAATCTCTCAAGTTCTTCACAGTTGACTGGAGCCATTAAGAAAGATGACTGCCATGTAGAAGCCACCAGCGCCCTCGAAATGCAAGGCTGGCAGGGGCAGCTAAAGGTTGTTTTAGAAGTGAGGCCCAAACTGAACTGTCAGTCCTGAGGGGATCCCAAAGGAGTTGGTGTCTGTCAGATTTCTCAGCAGTACTGGGATAGCTTCGTTCTTTTCTTGATCTTTATTTTTTTAACAAGTCCAGTGTAAGTGGCAATAACAACAACAGTGTTTCAGCCTGACCCTCATTTTGCTTCTTCCACCATGCCCTCTGTCTGTAATTCTGTAGATTGATATATTTCAAGGGGAATAATGAAAAGAACATCTCAGAAACTTTGACTCGATTTGTACTATCACTCTTCAGGTTTCAAAACCTTGCCCAAATACTCCATTTTGGAGAGATCATCGTAGTTTCGTTTTTAGTGTAGAAAGAAATTAGAAAGAATGTGCATGGTTTACCACTGGTAGTATCTGTATTTTCCTCCCATCCACAAAAGAGGCTTTTCTTGGTAAAAACAGTGACAAAACCCCTACCTCGCCATGCTTTTTTGTCCTGCAAACAAGTTTCTCTTTGTTACTGAATTTTTGCTGGTACAGGTTTTAGAGCTAGCTGGATAGCTCAGTGGTTTAGGTATCTGACTGCAGAGCCAGAGACTGGGGATTCAGTTCCCCCACTGTCATCCCAGAAGAGACACAGGAAGGGGCGTGGTTGGGCTCCAAGATGAACGGACAATCATTCCTTCCCTCAGAGGTCTCATTAAAGCTTTGTTTAAAACCCATCCTGCCTAACAGAGCAATTCCTGAGTAAATACAGTGGTGCCTCACAAGACGATTTTAATTCATTCCCCAAAAATTGTCGTCTTGTGAAAAAAATCGTTCCTATAGGGAAACTAGCAAGATGAATGAAATTTATTCGTCTTGCGAAGCATCGGTCTCAAAAAAAAAAGTCTTGCGAAGCATGGTCATAGAAAAAAAGTCTTGCGAAGCACCATAGGGATTGCGAAAACCAATCGTCTTGCGGGTTTTTTGCCCCACGAGGCAATCGTCTTGCGAGGCACCACTGTACTATCAAAAGACTGCTGAGATCAGGGATGTCAGCAAGTCTTTGAACCTAAGTCCCAAGTCCAAGTCTGAGATTTTGGTATCGAGTCCCGAGTCCCAAACCCCTATTAAAAACAATGTTTTCCCCAGAAAAAAAAGGACAGGTGGATGGGCTCCAAGTCATAAGTAAAGTCCAAGTCATCGGGGGGAAACTCAAGTTGAGTCTGAGTCTGAGTTGAGTCACCAGTGCAAGTTAATTCTGACATGACAGCGAGCCCCATTATTTTAGTCCCAGTCCCTGGCTGAGATTAATGGGCAAGAGATAAGGACAAAAGGATGTTCTGTTAGATAGCAGACTGATCCTGCATTTTCTGTCAGAGTAGATAGTGGTACACGCCTCAGTGGGAAAAAGGGGGAAAAGTCAGGAGCCCCTGCCTTATCTTTGTTTAAAGTTCCCTGGCAATTAGAGGGATATGAACTAAATATTCTATGAACTAAATATGAAGTAAATATTATTAGAAGAGCTGGAACGCTTTTTGACTCACTCACTGAAATACTTTCCCTTTTGAAGCAAAGACAGAGTTATTTGTTTTCCTGAATGGATGTTTTATGTGTGTTAATTCAGGCAAATTAATGAATTAAGGTAATTAAGAAAAAAAAGAAGGTTTCTCTTTTTAAAAACTATTTGAAGATTAATTGTTTGATGGAGTGGAATGGAACTATGCTGTGTTCTTTTGTTTGTTGTTTTTCTCCTCTCTTTGTTTCATTTCCTTTATTGACTATCTACTGACTGAATTTTGCTTTTATTACGATTCAGTGCTTCTCCTTCTACTAGACTTTTGTTAAATGACTGTTGAACTGAACTGAAATTAAATTTTTGATCAAAGGTTACCATCTGGTGGACATTGCCATACATTGCAGGCCACAGATTTTATAATTGTGATTTAAAACTGAAAGGTGTTTGAACTTGAGAGTAGTGGATATCTAGAAGCATTATTAGATGGCTTTCAAGATGGCAATGGTGCAGTGCTTCTTAATATGGGTCATAAGACGGTGATGGAGTTTGTTTTAATTCAATTTAATTTTACTTTCTATGACTCAACAATCGCAACAATCATCGAAAAACTGGTAGGGAGTCTATAAGGCTGTTGAGTCCAACTCCATTCTGTTTTGTTTAAACAATTATAAGTAAAGTATATAATAAATATTGATTATAAATAAAAGGTTTTAAGTATTCATGCTAGTGATAGAATATTAGCTATTAAAAGAATAATAAGGAGTCCAGGGGAAGGGTATGTGCAGGGACAATCTAAAGAAGAGTGAGCTTGGGAGAGAGGAGAAAGTGGAGAGGAAATTAATTGAGGATATGAACCTCCAGACAAATGTGAAGTGCAAGTGGAAGGGACAGGATTGCAGCTGGAGACTGATAAAGGAAGAGTCAAAGAATACCTTACCATCTTGAATGAGTTCAGATCTCCAGGGTTGGATGAACTGCATCCAAGAGTACTGAAGGAATCGGCTGAATAACTCTCAGAACCGCTGTCTGTTATTTTCTTGAAACCCTGGGAAACGGGTGGGGTGCCAGAGGACTGGAGGAGGGCTAATGTTGTCCCTATATTCAAAAAGGGCAAAAAAGAGGATTGTGGGAACTACAGGCCAGTCAGCTTGACGTCAATCCCAGGGAAAATTCTGGAGCAAATTATAAAATCCTGCCAGACTAATCTGATAGACAGAGGAAATGCTGTAGACATAGTATATCTTGACTTTAGCAAAGCTTTTGACAAAGTGCCCCATGATATCCTGATTAGTAAGCTAACTAGGTGTGGGCTGGACAGATTAAGTGTCAGGTGGATACCCAATTGTCTACAAAATCGTACTCAGAGGGTGGGGATTAATGGCTCCTTCTCCAACTGGGAGGAGGTAACAAATGGGGTACCACAGGACTGAGTCCTGGGCCCTGGGCTCTTCAACATTTTTTTAATGACCTGGATCAGGGGATAGAGGGAATGCTAAACAAATTTGCGGATTACACAAAACTAGATGGAATAGCAAATACAGTACCCTGGAAGACAGAAACAAAATTGAAAATAATCTTGATAGGCTAGAAGACTGGGCTGGAAACAACAGAATGAAATTCAGCAAAGATAAGTGTGAAGTACTGCACTTTGGGGGAAAAACCAGTTACAAGATGGGGGATACCTGGATCAGCAATACTACAAGTGTGACAGACCTGGGAATTGTCATAGATCACAAGCTGCATATGAGCCAACAGTGTGATGCGGCTACAAAAAGGCAAATGCTATTTTAGGCTGTGTTAACAGAAGTATCACTTCCCAATCCCACAAGGTGCTAGTCCCCCTCTATTCAGCGCTGGTTAGGCCCCACCTTAAGTACTGCGTCCAGTTCTGAACACCACATTTCAAGAAGGATGCTAACAAATTGGAACAAGTTCAGAGGAGAGCAACAAGGATGATCAGGTGACTGGGAACCAAGCCCTGTGGTGAAAGACTGAAAGAACTGGGCATGTTCTTGGGAAAAGTAGACTGAGGGGAAATCTGATAGCACTTTTCAAATAGGTGAAATGTGGTCACACAGAGGAAGGACAGGATCTGTTCTCAATCATCCCCGAGTGCAGGACACGCAACAATGGGCTCAAGTTACATGAAGTGAGATTTGTATTGAATATCAGGAGAAATGTCCTAATTGTTAGAGCAGTAAGACAGTGGAACCAATTACTTTGAGAGGTGGTGAGTGCTTTACTGGAGGCATTCAAGAGAAATTTAGACAACCACCTGGCAGATATCCTTTGATTTATATTCCTCCAATAATTAGGGGGTTGGACTTAATAGTCTTGTAGGCTTCTTCCAACTTCACTGTTGGCAGTTACAATTTTTTTAAAATGAGTGAACTGATAAAAGATTGTGTTTATTTCTTTTTGTTTCTTCTTGTTGTTTCCTCTCCTCTTTTTTCTGATACTGTATTTCTCTTCTTTTAGACAATAATATGTATTATGTTGGATAAAAAATTAAGGACTCCAGTGGGAATGTTGAATACAGACTGATTGGGCTAAAATAGGAGTGAACAGGAATAATAGGCTTTAAGAATAATGCATGTTAAATATATTTGCATTTTTTTCTATATAGAAAGAATAATGAAACTATTGTGGGGTATTCTATATAGATTAAATTTAAGTGAGCTTAAGATGTAATACACAGTGTTATATTAAGTTATAATTTATTCATTTACTTATTTGATTTATATACCACCCCAGTAGTGTCATATACTGTTAAGAGATAAAAAGTTGGGGAAATTTGGATTTGTTCACCCAGGGGTTGGACAGACGCTCCTCTCTCTCTCCGAGCACTGACACTATGCAATGGCCTGGACTTTATATCATGGAATGAAGGAAAAGGAAATGGCTAATAAATGTAGAAGGGTAAGATTGGATGTGGGGTATCTAGAATGAGAGTAATTAGACATTTTAAAAAATCATGGGGACCAAGAAAGAGATATGATGTGTACAAAATGGTTTTAAAAAAACTGTGATTGAATTAATGAATACTTTATTATGGTGGAAAGAGATATGATGTGTACAAAATGGTTTAAAAAAACTGTGAGTGAATGAATGAGTACTTTATTATGGTCAAAGACCGGTAAAACCAAATCAATATAAAATAGATACATATAATTATAGTTTTGTGAAGTCAGTCAGGGTAATAAAATTCCATTAAAACATGATAAAACAACCCCTTCTTTCCAGTTAATAACATCATATATCCTTAATATAAGTAAAACCTCAACCAGTGTTATATTAAAAACATTTCCATCTAAAATCACCTACCCAAACATTTGATTACGAATAACCATTGCTGCCGCACAGAATTTGGCCATTTGTCTCATAATATAAGGGGTACTGTCAGAAAGTAACCACTGGACATAATGCTCCTCTGATCTCCTGGGAGATTTACAGATAATAGGTGATAAAAGCTCCATACGAAGATCCCAATAGCAAGTACAGAAAAGAAGAACATGACCAACTGATTCAAAGTTATCATTATTACAAGGGCAGAGACAATCTGATGTAGGCAATCCTCGAAATCTTCCCTCCAGAAGCTTAGAAGGAAATACATTAAGCTTTATACGTTGAGTTATAACACTGAATGTAAAAGGCTTAGATGTCCAGAAGCTTAGAAGGAAATACATTGAGCTTTATACACTGAATGTAAAAGGCTTAGATAATTTTGTGGAAAAAAATGAAACATTGTTAAACAAATATAAAGCAGACATAATTATTTTATTTTATTTACGGGTGGGTGGGTATATGTGTTTATTTGTTTTTACCAGCCCAGACTATTAACTCACACTGGATGGGTAGAATATAAATGAAAATAAATTTAAAAAATTGAGAAAATGTATTGTAACACAAGATCTGTGAAGTAATTTAACAGAAACAAGGAAGAGATATGTTATAATGGCAGGAGATTTTAATATGATAATATATAATGAAATGAACAAAACTAATCCCTCTAAAGGGGGAAGAAAAAATAATATTACAACTTTAAATGCTATGATGAGTAAAACAGATTTAACAGATGCATGGAGAAAATTGAATGGTACTGAGAGAGGAGTCTGTTTTTACTCGCAGATACATAAAATCTATTCAAGAATAGATATTTATCCCAAAGGATTTATTTGCTAAAGTAGCTCACTCTGTAATAGATATAATAAAGTTTTCTGGTCATGCAGAAGTGACCAGACATCTAAGTGATGTGTGACTATAAAGATATGAAGAGATGGAGAACTGATTTACATTTTTAGGCATAAAACTATTATTAAAAAATAGACAAAGAATTGTTGGATATTTGGAAAATTAATGATATGGTTGGTATTTTAAAAGAGATAATATTGGATACTATGAAATCTATAATAAAGTATTTATGCTTTAAAGAATCATATAATTTAACAGAGAAAAGCTCTTCCACAAGCCTTGTGGTCAGGAGGTTAAAACCACAGGGGGGAAAACCTCCAGGTTTTTATGATTCAGAAAATAGTTTTCCACAGAGGACAAGGTGAATTCATGTGGTGATCTGAAAGTTTCAAAACCCAGATCATTCCTGTTTAACATTCTATGTAGTTTGGAAATTAGGAGCAACAAGTTTGGTGGGGGAGTAGGGGGATCCATTTGTGGTGTGACATAACCTTATAAATCTGGAACCAGAGTTTAGAAGAGTTATTCTGTGGGATTGTAACACAAAAGCAATTCTCAACTGGGAGTTTCTACCAGTCAGTCAACACCCAAACCAACAGTGGTAAAATAACCATTACTATATATTGAATATTTTATTTTCTCACAGAATCTTGGGATTCCAATAAAAATGAGTGGAGCAGGACATATATTAATCAGTAAAATGACTTTGGATTCCCAAGTTGTATTTACTGCAGGAGAAAATACTTTACATGGACTCCTCATATTAAAAGGCGTGGATGTAAGTAATCCGGTTGGCAAGCTTTTAGCCTGTTGTTCTCTGCTTTCCCATCACATATGTCTTACTTGTATCAGTCTTTTTTTAAAAAACACTTTTGTAGCTTATTAGATTGGCTCAAGGAGCCTGATATTTGGGAAATCTATTGTAAACTAATTCTGTCCATACTTCTTGGACTAATCTGTGGATCAGAAGTTGCCGTTGGAAGAATTACATTTTTTTTTGTACTACAACTCCCCAAATCCATCAGCCAGGATGGCCAGTGGCTAGCATCATAATCTGGGTTTTTTTCAAGAGAGAATTTTGTTTGTCATATTTATTTGTTTGTTTGTTTGTTTGTTTGTTTGGATTTATATTGTGTGCTGATCTTATCAGTGTTTTTCTCACCATCCATACGTCGTAAGGCTTGTCTCAGTTCCAGCAGTGATCAGATTCATAAATTTTTGTGCTTTTTCCCCTTCTGTTGCATGAGTTTGTTTACTTTTTAAAGTTCTTGGTTTGTTCTGCCAGGCAGAGTTTAGTGCTATGGCACTTCTCAGTGGAAATTTTCAGTAGAATTACAGCCTCCAATTCGGAAGTTTTCAGTTCTATTAACTCAATTAACCTTTTTGAAAAACTCCAGAAGAGAAGGTTCTCCAGAGAACTGGATTTCTTTCTTCTTTTTTCTTTTTTTCTTTGGAAGAATTGAAAAGATTTCTCAAGCACAAGTGGTTGTATAAGAGTTGGATTTTTAAAGTGTGGCTTGGAGTGTACCTCAGCAAGCCCTTCGGTCTTTCCTGTTGAACTGGGACAAGGTGGGAGAAAATGGGGTGGAGTTTTTCTCATGTTTGGAACAGCCCTTAGTTATACTTTGACATATAAGCAAGCACAGTACAGTGGTGCCGCGACTTACAAATGTCCCTAGTTGCGAAAATTTCGAGATACGAAAAGGTCCGGCCGCAAAATATTGCTTCGACTTGCGGCCGGAGCTTCGAGTTACAAAAAAAAAAATGCGGGGGAGGGGGGGAAAGCACAGTATTTGAACTTTTAGTTGACCGTTGGCCAGCGAAGAGGCTGCTTGTCTGCTAGCTCGCTCGCCCCAGTGGTTAGAGAGTAGATAGGGAGAGAGTCTTCAGACTGCCTGGTACTGCCTGGTACGGTACTTTACGGACTGTTTTTTTTTGGCTTTTTTAATTTTTAATTTTTGGATTTTTGACTTTTTTTAAAACAGAGAGACTGCCTGTTCTGGGTGAGTACATGCACTGTACAGTATTCACTGTACTGTATAGGGTTTTTTGCTGCTTTGTTGGAGGACAGGGCTAGGTGGGTGGTTATGTTTCTGTGCTCTGATGGGTCTTGCAGTATGGATTTAAAATGTAAAAAGTAGACTCTAATATTAAATTAAAATTAAATGTGAAAATTAGACTGTAATTTTAAAATGTAAAATTTATTTATTTATTTTTGCATTCTGTGGCTTCTAGGGTTTGTGTACTGTGACCTCTGTGTTGTTTAAAATTTGTGTAGGTTTAAAACGTGGCTTCACAGTCTTTTCTTTCTTTGGGGTCTGTTTGTGGTTGCTGGTTGTTGATGCAGGCAGGCAGGCTTTAAAATGGAGTTGGGGACCTCTGCATTAGAAGACATCATGGGAAAGGTTTCATTCTAGCATGCTAATTAACTTCTTCTTTTAAGAAATATTTTAGCTAGTAGTTTTTGTTTAATAAGCAATTTTACCGTGTTGTGGTTTGTCTGGTTTGCATTTAGTATGTATTGTTCTAATTATTCCTCCCATCCTGCATTGTTAGCTTACCATTCCATTCTTTGCTATAGGAATATATTAAATATCAGGCTACATAACTTACACAGTGTGTGCATACTGAGAGTGGTGCTGTCTTGCTCCAAGTATGAATCCTTATGCATCAAAAAGAAATCATCCACACAACAGAGGGAGTCATCAGGTTCCTTAAGACAACCCTAGAGACTGCAGGAGTACAAGAAAACTTCAAAAAAAAAATTAAGATGAGACCTTTACCAAAATGCAGCCCTGTGAAGACTGAGAATTGCAGAAAAACCACACAGCTGTGACTAACTGGCTGAAAAGGGGGAAGCAGGAAGGAGAGGATAGACTGTGTGGGGTTAGGGGATGGCTGGCTAACTGGATTTTTGAACAGAAGCATTTCATGCTGGCTGATGTGGGCAACATCTGGAGATGCTGTCTAATTCCTGTTGTAAGCAAAAAGTTTTAGAAGAGGTAGCCGTGTTAGTCTGTGCAAGCATATCAGGCAAAATCCAAAGAAACAAAATAAAACCACTGATGAAGTAGACTTGTTTGTGAAAGCTCATATTAAAATATAATAGATTTATTTATTTATTTATTTATTTATTTATTTATTTATTTATTTATTTATTTAATTTATATCCCGCCTATCTAGTCGTGGTGGACTACTCTAGGCGGCCAACAACAG